GATCATTGATATTGCATCTCCATTCAATGCTGCTCCAATAAAGAACAGAAATAATTATTTCTGATGTCCTTTGTCAGATGATATTACACAAGTGAAATCAACATGTCTTCAGATGGAACTGATATAATACCACTTTCAAGTGATGGCCAAATATGGAATGTTCCAGAAATATTAACCATATCAGAGGTTTATCAAGAAATTCAGTTGGCAAATCACCATTAGGAAAGGAAGTTCAGGAGAACCATTCACAATGTCCAGAAAGTCTTTTTATCAGAAGTTTAAAGTATCTGTTTTCCTTTTGTAAAACAAATTTACAAAATTTGTAGTCATTACAGTCCCATTTTTGAAGAGTTAAAAATTATAAAATTTTTAAAATCACAATATATCTATTACAAATGATATATCTATTACATATAATGGCGAAAAGAGTTGTTTTGCTGTTCCTCATCCTAAAAATAGTAATGTTTCAAAGTTTCAGGCATGTACCACCAAGGAATACATTTTATGGCAAGTTCAGGATGGTATACTTTTGACCTGATTTTTGCACTGTTGCCAAGTTGCTCATCTGGCTATTTTATATGGTATAAATATAGATACTACAGGAAAAAAAGCTTCATCTCTGTTGTGCTATGAAGTATAGTAAGAAGTTGCAAGATACATTGATTTCCAATCTGAAGGGGGAATGATTATTTTTGTAATACTACAAAAATTGTGGCACAATGCAGAAGCAAAGTGGAGAAAGGCTGGTCTTCTCTGACTATTCTAGTCCTAGTTAATCATAATCATGACTCATTCATTCTTTACAATACACCTAATCACCACAAGAACTTATCCATCACCTCTCAATCCTGCATATACCACAATAACATATTTCCAGGGCACCTACAAAACACCCTATAATATAAAAATCTGATAAATATTCATAAAGTCTTTCTTTCTTTTTTTTTTTTTGCTTATAAAAATTTCTATAATAATATAAATGATGGGGGAGGGTATGGACCCAAGAACAAAATAAAAGAATGCAACTAAAAACAAAAATGGATGTTAGTAGGACCCATTCACCCCTCAAAATAAGAGTTGCCAATGTATTCTGCTGATGGAAGAAGCACACTCACTAATAGAGTGGAAAATATAAAAATTAAAAATAAAAGATAAAAATGATGGAATGGTAAAATCAAAAGGCTGACCTAAGATGAAAAAGTGGACAAAAACAAACTGGGGAGGTTGGTAATCTAGATATGAATTATAACAAAAGAGTATGTTGGGAAGAAGCCTGGAGCAACACATACTCATATTAACTAGGAAAACAAAAAGTGTCTAACTTAATCAGAGGGTGGTTCACGGGAAACTGCCCCATTGCATTAAGGGGACTTAAAAGAGAGAATCAAGGCTAGCCCTGTTTCACTGAAATCTGTTGATATCAAACACTTTCTATCAGATCTTAATCCTGAGCTGATGCCCAATGATACCAACTATATCCTGATGAGAATAACATTCATATCACAAGATTCTCTCCATTTGCAAATTCCATTCCTCCATTCCTGCCACAGCTAGCAATGCAAGAAATGTCATCCATTTCACCAAGGAGTATGGAGACAACATATTGTCACATGCATATGTGAGATGGATAAACACAAGCTAATCAGGAACAATAGAAGCCATCAACTTACTGACATAGTCCCAGAAAGAGCACACCTGAAGACAATGGTAGAAGACATGCAAAGTCATTTCTTCTAAATCAAGGTTACACCAATGGCAAATCCACTCAGCTCTCTCATTGAGAGATAACATGTTCCGAATCAATCACCAGGTAAACGAAACTCAGGGTTATTAAGATAATCTGCAGCTGGCTCCCAAAACCAGAAAGAGCACAACTCTGATGACAAGCTGAACCAGCCACAAGATATATACAATAGCCTACAAGGCCATGAAAGGTCACTGAACTAAGGAATGGCTCTCATGTCTACCCAACACTCTCACAGGAATCTCGATTGATTATGAAGCTTACAATAGCACTCAGCTTCCAAAATGGTAAGAGTAATGGTAAAGCTAGAGGATGGTGTCCTTAACACTCCCCTCCAAAATCAAATCCTGTCAACGCACAGCATAGGAAAACCAACCCTGAAGCAGCAGGTCCATCAGAAGTTTGCAAATGAGCACCTGGATGATTCAGAGGAGGATCGGGAGAAAGTGCTGTGGTCAGACGAGACTAAAATTAAGCATTTTGGCATCAACTCGACTCACTGTGTTTGGAGGAAAAATAAAAAAGCTGATTTGGACCCCAAGAACACCATCCCAACCATGGTGGTGGAAACATTATGCTTTGGGGCTGTTTTCTCTGCTAAGGGGACAGCTACACCAGTTCGAGGGAAAGATGGATGGGGCCAAGTTCAGGGAAATCTTGAGTGAAACCTCCTTGCCTCAGGCAGGACACTGAAGATCGGTCGTGGATGGGTGTACGACAACGAGCCAAAGTATACAGCTAAAGCAACAAAGAAGTGACTCAAGAAGAAGAACATTAAGGTAATGGAGTGGCCTAGTCAGTCTCCAGACTTTAAAAACTTTAGAGAATCTGTGGAGGGAGCTGAACCTTCGAGTTACTCAACGACAACCTACAAACCTTAAGGATTTGGAGAGGGTCTGCAAAGAGGAGTGGGCCATAATCTCCTCGGGATCAGTAAAAACTTGGTAACCAACTACAGGAAATGTCTGCCAACAAGGGATTCTTCACCTGAGTTATGCTTTGTTGTGATGTAAAATACTTATTTTTTCAATAAAAAAGAAATAAATGTACAAAAATTAATATAATGTGATTTTCTACAATTTTTTTTATATTCTATCTCTCACTTTCAAGATGGACCTACCATGAAAATTATAGACCACTCCTATTTTTGTAAGGTGGCAAAGTCATAAAATCAGCAGGGGTTGAAATACTTATTTTCCTCAATTTTTGATCCAGTAGTTTTTGTTTGTTGCCACACTTTATATGAAAGTGACATATCAAACATAACCAAACAGCACAAATGATTTTAAACATTTGATTTGCATATTTTAACTTACTTTTACTTTTTCACATTATATAACATTGAGTATTTTTATAATATCTTCATTTGACTGCTATATACCTCAACTAGCCTGACTGTAGAACATTCAACAAGGAATCTCCAAATTTTCCAAACCCCCTTTGATGTTTATTCATTGAGAATATCTTCTCCATAAACTGTAGTCTTTTTATTATACAAATGCTTCATTATCATTTTTCAAATAAAAAGAAAAAAAAAAACAATAGTATGCTAAAAAAATGTTGCTTATTTTTTTTATTTTCAAAATTTTAATAAAAATAGTGTTGACATTTTTAAAATGATAGCTGTCATTACATTTGAATTAATATCCTCATCTTTGTTATTATCACAATGTTTCATTCTTAGATATAACTAGCAGCATTGCCCGTGCTCGATTCAAAAATCGTATGGCTCATACACCAATCGCTATCACTTGACTTAAAATATTTTTGCCCTTCCTTGCCTTTAAAGGAGTGCCCTTTGCCGTGCTGATGTTGCTACATGCCTTACTTCTTGCCTATCTCACGCTGCAAATTTTTTCTAAGCTCTATACTAGACATTAAATATGTTACAAAAAAAAAAAAGAACTAAACAAAATGAACACAAAACGATCAGCTTAAAAAAAGAACTTGTAACTGAAAAAACCGAATGAAAAAAAAATGTTAAATACTTTTTTCACACCCAACCCAGTTCTGCGGAATCAGAATCAACGTTGAGTTTAAGCAAGCAAATGAGCCAATTGGAGTAAAGTGCCATGCAGATTTAAATTTTCCCCCACTTGTGACGAATGCAGCCATTTTTTTTTTTTTTGCATGCTAGTTAACATTCGTGTCAGTGAGCTGTTGGCTCTCACACTGGCCAATAGAATCTTCCTGCCTATTCGTTGCAGCCAGCTATAGCCTCTCACTCTGGCCAGTGGAAAATGGCCACAAACTACATGAAAACTACTGCAGAAGCATGAAAAAAATCGATTATTTCCATTATCGATGGGAGTTGGGAAATGCAAAGTCAGTCTTGGCCTTCCTGCTAACTTGGAGCACATGCATGTAAATTTTGGTGCAAATCCATCGTAAAATTGCGGCCATGCATTCGTTACACACATGCACACATCCTGCCTTTTATAGATAGAGACAGCTCTAGCTGAGGAGGTGGCCTTGAAGGTTCCTAAAGTCGAAGCAAATGAATTAAAATGTAAAGTGCTTCTCTCAAGCACTAGAAAAAAAAAAACTACATCAGACATCATAAGGGAAGTCTAGTTGGGGATAGTAACTATAACAAAAAAATCCAATTAAAAATGAGAAAACTGTCAGATTCTAAATAAGTTTTTCCACCATTCATACAGTGCCAAAGAAGGTATCGTCTAATGCCTACAACACCATGCAAAAATCAAGTGGTAACCCAAATATATATATATATATATATATATATATATATATATATATATATATACACACACACACCAACAGGATACAATCATCATCAAACATACTCTTCAAAATAACAACTACTCTGCAAACATAACATCAGTTTCTGTAGACAGACTGTCTCACTGGACAATAGCCTAGAGAATTAAATCATTTTTCCATGAATTTGGTGGCATAGCAATCATTCCTTGGACAAGATAGTATACTCAGATTCAGTGGAAAGAGCTAGCAGTAACTGAGCAGTACTAAAAAGAGAACAAGACAAGGTATCTCTAGACATGGAAAATCTATCACCATAAATTAAATAAAGAGTTCAGTTCAAAATTGTCTGAGGGTCATCCAAGTCAACAACAGTCAAAAGTAAGAGAGAGGAGGACATTAATCTGAATGTAAATAAGGATAACTCTTTATCACAGAAATTCTGACAGAAATTATAGCTATCAATATAAAAGTGAACTTTTTGAACTAAAAAGTTAAAAAACTTAAAAGAAAGAGTAAAAACAACACTACTCACTTGGTTTTTAATATCAGTAACATAACCTTTCTTTCTCCAGTCCACTGATTCAGGAAGATCTTTGGGAACAGAAACTTTATGACCAGTTTTCTTTATGGGCTTGCCTTTGTAGCCATTCATGAGCCTTATAAATTCTGTATGTGTCTGAGAAAAAAAAAAAGAGGAAAAGTTAGTAAATCTAAAATTAAATAACTTTAGAAGTAAATCATTTCAAGATTTTAATACTGGTGTAAGCATTGTATCTAAATAATTTTCTATGATAATTTTTATTGGCACTTGAAGTCTTGTGAGGAAGATCTTAATTGTAAAGAAAAATGTAATATATCAACATCATCTGGAATTAAGTCACTACATTGAACAGGATTTGACTAACTTACAGATACCAAATTATTTGAAAACTGATGTAACGGAATGACCTATCACCCCCATGAGTGACTACACTATAGGTAGTAACTACCTATAAGTATCTGTAAGTCAGACTACAGAGACTAGCTGGGATCTGTTGAGTACAACTCAGACTTATGCGAGAACTACCAACCTCACTACTGGATTGACTTGCGACAACCTTGTGCATAACTGTTACCTTTATTCTTATTGTACTGGTTTTTTTACAATAAACCTACTTATTTTATCCACCTTGTTTTTCAAGTATATATTCCTATTAGCATGGAATATAACAAAAACAATTACTTGTCAAGCAACTAAGCTGAAACCTTAAGATATTTTTCTTTAAGCATCATATTCCTACATCTGTCTATATTTCTGAGATGAGGAATGGTAAGTATTTACATTATTCGGACTGTTGTCCTCATCTTTGTCATATTTATGACATTTCAGCCATTGTACGCTCCAGCCTTTTTAGATGATATATATTTGAATTTCAAACCAAACCCATTATTTAGTCCACAACAGTAGATTGTTCTAGTTTCATATGCCATGCCTTTACTGGATATCTATTTTAGTTATTTTCCTTTCCTGACTCAAATCTCCAAGTTTTCATTCACCTCTGCTGTAGCCAGGAACTGAACTCACAACCTTTGGCCAATGGATAAAAGGCCACAGCAGAGATGAACTTGGAGAGTTGAATTACTAAAGGGAATTAACTGAAACAGAGATATGCAGAAAAGGCATAAAAAGCCAATGTCAACCCAAATTATAAATAAAAATAAATATAATTCCAGCACTTGAAAATTGCTTTGACATGAAACTTGGAGTTGTGCTATTCAATTGGAGGAATTTCAGAATTGCAATGAAAAAAAGTCCACTTTTAAAAAAAAAAGTGATATTCAATGTAGATTTTTGTGTCAAATATGAAAGAAAATATTTTAAGTTATGCAAGTACTCTCAACCAAAATGTTTTTAATTAAGTTAAAAAAGGTCATCAGAGTGGGCTCATTAGGATAAAGAAATGAAAATCTGATTTTTGGTGTTAAAATGCACAAGCAAGACAAGTGCAGCCTGAATTGAGAATTCAGATGTCATTGTATGGTTCTGATTGACCCTAGTCTAAATGCTGAGCTGTAGAACTATTAAGCTGTGCACCAAAAGAGGATTTGAGGATTCAACTTCTAAAATGTAGGCTATGAATAGATTCTAGCGTGCTCAATGAGTTCATACAGCTAGATGTTCGGGTGCTGCAAGCCACCAAGAAAATTTTCAAGTGATGTCCAGATCAGAGGTTTATAAAGAAATTCAGTCAACAAATTAGGAAAGGAACTAGCTGTATTTTATGTGGCGAAAATATAGTTTTTATTGATGTAATACTGAAAAAAAAAAAAAAAAATAGCTTCTCTGTTGTGCAATGAAGTTTAGGAAGAAGTTGCAAGGCATTAACAGTTGAAATGAATTTTGCCCTTCTGTCATAATTTTAATATTTTGTTTTTTCATTAAGCTGATCAGATTTAAGAATTATTGATTCAATCAGCATTATCTTTCTTTTACTTCAAGACTACCTATATGGTATTTATAATGATTTTTAACATGTTTGAAGCCTGCATTTTTAGTTATAAGTTAAAATTTTAGTTAAAATTGACGTTTTTTGTTTTGCATGAGACGAAAAATCCAAAAGCAACACAATTCATATATTTGATTCCAATAGTAATGCTTTGGTTAGTTCATATATTTAATTCCAATAGTAGCAGCTGGAGGAAACTGACAGTTTTGTATTCTTTTAGTTTTAGTTATAACTTACTGACCAATTAGTATGGGGTTGAAAACAATGAAATATACTCACCAGATCTCCATATTCATTCATAGCTAGACGAAAAGTATGAATATTGTCATCAGCTTTTCTATTGTGTCGGTCAATAAGGTAATTATGACTTTCCCAAGTCATTCGCCTAGTTAACAAAACAAAAAACAAAACAAGAATAGACTCAGAGCTAATCTTCATAAGAAACTAAAAATATTGGATATTATAAAACCATAGATAATACTTTTTCTAGTTTAGTTATCTGAAATTTTAGTGTACTAAAATCATACATTACGATAAGAGGCATTCATAGTAAAATAATAACCAAAACATGCTATAAAAACACTAGGTTTTAAAAAATAAATTATGATGCATTTCCATATAAGGAGTATGCTATACAAATAATGAGTACAAGAATTAAATTTAGAGTATTAATTTTTTGAGGGGACAAGAATAAAAGTGAAAAACTGAAAACTTGTTAAATGAATCAGTCATAAGTCAAATTATGATAGAAAATAAATGAATTAAGCCATTTGACAAATTTAAACTAATTTTTCTACCATGAAGAGGTAGTTAAATTTTAAGAAATGTTAAAAAGTTTGATAAATTTAGCAGGCAGAATCTAATATTTCTTGACACTTTATGAAGGGATGCAGAAAAATACAATCTGGGAAAAAAAAAAAAATAAAATAAAAAAAAAAAGATTAAAAAAAAAAAAAAAAGAAAGAAAAGAAAATCTGATTTTCTGTCATTGAGAATTTGAAATTTTTTTAAATTTTAAATGAAAAAATTCACTTTTTGAAAATAGATTCCAAGTAAATTAATATACAAAAAACAAGCAATAGGTAATAAAATTGACAAGAGTTTATTTCTCTAGAAAAAAACATTAATTTAAATGCTATAATTTTTTAAAAATCAGTTTGCTGAAAAAAAAAAAATAAGGGAATGAATACATGAAAACAGTTACATAGCTAATATATATGATAAAATCTAAACTAATTGGCACAAAGATTAAATTAATGATAGCTAGTTAAACCAATTTGATATTTTGGATTAATATAATTTAGTTGCAAATACAGTTATGATCTTTAGAAGCAAGAAGTTACATTTTTAATTATGGTAAGCTCACCTAAAAAACTCCTCTTCTTTTTCATAGGTTTTTCTGAATTTAGACTTAAAAAGCTCCCATTCATTGTCTAGTTTGGAGTCTGGGCTAATCAGGACAGATGCACTAACAGGAAGTAAGATGGTCAATACTACAGCGAGATACATCCTGAAATGAAAAATAAAAGAAAACAGCAACACTTTAAACATCGTGATATTTTCAGGAGATACTATTTTTCATCTAAGAAGAATTTAACAAGATCAACTTATTAACAGTGAATATTTATTCTGAACATTCATAAAAGCAAGACAAAAAAAAAAAAAAAAAAAAAAATTACCTTTGATGAATTAAGATATTATTGATTCAAGATATTGTGCGGGGAAACACCTTCACTCTAAAACTGTTGAATTTTGAATAGATCAGTCAGTTATGTGCCATGTGTGATACTCACTTAGGCAATCATGTATCTTTCGATACATGACTGAAGTGGCAGATTTTTTCCCACGGTAGGTTGCCATTTCTTTCTGCAGTAGACCAGTTGCCCTCGAAGTCTATAGAACCCAGTCTGTCCTGCTATTTACCCATATCTGGGGGGAGAAGAAGAGAATTCATACCTTTCCCAAAGATATTTAGATAGATAAAAGTATGTATTATTGAATCCCAAATTTATTAAGGCAACTATTAGTTTTCCGCAGTTGTTGCAGCTCTTATATTTCCAAATTCAGTAATTCATGGGTTACATATTATGATTAAAGGGAAGCTATTTCCACTTACACTGAAACATGCACACAAAAATCTTGAAATTCAGTTAATGCATTTTCATGAACAATTTTTACTCAAATTTTCACTTGTAATCATTTCTTCAATAGAAAAGGTTAATTTTATTTACTTCTTTCTCTTGCACTTAAAGAAAAATATTCATGAGAAAGAAAATGAATAAATAAGCAACTTTGGCATGTCACAGTATTGACTTTTTAAATGTCACTTTTTCCATTGGATTTTTTTTAATTCATATTTTTTTCTTTAATTTTATTTTTGTACATGTACAAGAAAAAAAGAAACACTTTTGGGAACAAATCAACACCTTTTTTTTTTTTAAATTATCAAGAGAGCTTCATTGAGGAAACATTTTCACTTGAATATTTTTACATATAAAAATAATTTAACAAAGATTATTTTAAAAAATATCAAGAAAAACTTCAATTTTTTTATTCACACTAAAAAAATAGATTGTGCTATAAAAAATACAATAATAATAATAATAATTATTAATCTGTCATTGGTCCAAAGAGTAATGCCACTCGTGTGACTGGGAGTGATGCTAAGAAAAAAAGTGATTTGTTGGATATGCTTCATAAAACACAGTTGGCTATTGCAGTAGGTCACCATTCTTGGTATCAAGTCAACTGTGTGCTATATATTTATAAAAAAGAATAGCAAATCTGTGTGATCATTTCTACAGTAACACAAGCATTTATTTCAGGCTGAAACTGTTACCTTTTTTATGAGTGAAGGACTGCCACAAGAAAGGTGGCCCAATAGACTGTTATTATTAGGAAAAGAGCAAAGTCCTTACATACTTTTAAACAACAAAATAGTGAAGAAACAAAATTGAATTTTACAGACACCATCATTACTGTATGCTTGTTTCAAGCAAATAACACAATTCTCCAGCTTTATTAATTGCTTTAGTATCCACTCTTAAGATTTAAGATTTCTTCATCATTCAGCTATTGGCAGATAACTAGCAATGACTTTTAAATTTTTTTTTTCAAAATTGTGTTTTTCAAAAGAAAAAAAAAATACGGGAGAGGTGGGGGTGACCTATAATTACTGGAATTTCAGATCTTGGATTTCTCTTGATTAGGCATCCTTGATACAAGATTGAAAAAGAAATTGGAAAATTAAAACAAAAGGTAATCCAAGATAGAAAACAATTTGAGAAGAAAATGTATAATGACTGAAAAAAAAAAAAAAAATTTTCTACAGAGATATTTTTATAAAATTATGAATAAAAACTTGTTTTCATAATTAAAGGGGAAAGCCAATTTTATTCTGTCTGACCAGTGGACAGTGCATTAATTATTCATGGGTGGACATGCATAAATGAGTTCATAAATGTGAATAAAATAAACTTTCTTTTTGTTTATTTATTGAATTTTTATCAACACCAGATAAAAAATTATATTTAAAAAAAAATGTAAATTTATTTCCAAGCTTCAAAGCAATAACATCGACGTAATGTATCTTTCATTGTTACACAAAGATTTTGTATGACCTTCTCACACATGTTTCAATTTCTTTCATTATTTTCAGATTTTTTTTTTTTATCTATAATTTTTCCACATATTTTTCTGGAAATTACCAAAAATTCTAAATACACTTGAATTATCAGTATGCCTCCCAAAAAGTCCTTGCTTGTCTGTTATAATCACAAGCAAACCTGACAAAAAAGAAATGAACATGATCAAGAAAGTTTCTCACACTTTCACAGTAATAGCAAGATGCCATTCTTATCAACAAGCCTGACTTTAGAGTGACCTTTAACCCGAGCACGAAAACGTGGACTGCATTGTGGAAGTGGGCGAGTGGTCATTCACCTAGCAAGTTGGTCAATAAAGTACAGGAGTACACAGTACCTGGCCACGTCCGGGATGCATACGATGAAGAACTAGCACGGTGGCAGCGAGACAGATGGCTACTGCCATATCCTGAGAAAGAGCTTGGCCCACCCAAGGGATTAATTCCCTTAATGGCGGTCGTACAAGAACACAAACAGAAGTTCCGGCCGGTACTTGACTATCCGGAGTTGAACGGCTTTGTAGACGCATTCACTGCTGACGCAGAGATGTGTGCGCAGAAATTACGAGAATGGTGACAACAAGGAGCTGACGTATCGCTGTTGGATTTGAGAAATGCGTACCTACAGATTCACATTGACAAATCACTATGGCCATTTCAAACAGTGGTCATTAAGGGTAAGCGCTTTAGCCTGAATGTGGCACCACTTTTCATGAAGTCAGTGATCGACACGATAATGTCCCAGGATCAGGACATTAAGAGTGCCACGTCGGCGATATCTTCATAAATGAAGGCCTAGTTTCTGCAGCACGCGTAAGATAGCACTTTGCAGATTACGAGCTAGTCTGTAAAGATCCGGAGCGATTGAGAGACGGAACTAAGGTCCTGGGTCTGCAAGTCTGGGAAGAAAGCAACTCCCTTCGATGGAAGCGGGGAGGTCATGTTCCAGAAATTGCTCAAATGGTGATCTTTGAAGCATATTTTCCTTGTGTGGGAAACTCGTGGGTCATTTCCCTGTGTGCGGTTGGCAACTGCATTTATTAAGCGTTATGCAAGTACACTAACCAAAGGATGGAACGACGAAATAAAGGATGCCCCTCTTGGACGTATGCTGGAGGAAACAGTGGCCAGAGAGCGGGAATCAGATCCTGTCGATGGAGACTGGTGTGTGAACGGCAATGAAATGAGTTTGGGTGGATGCAAGCTCTGTGGCTACGGGAGTAGCACTAGAGGTGAATGGGAGCATCATGGAAGATGCTTGCTGGTTGCGTCCAACCAATGATGCCAAACACATTAATCTTGCTGAGCTTGATGCAGTGATCAAGGGCATGAATCTTGCCCTGCAGTAGCAGGTACCAGTTATGCATGTGGTCACCGATTCAGCATGTGTGCATCGGTGGGTGTCTGACACCCTGACAGGAAAGACGAGCGTGAACACGAAGGCGGCGGGTGAAATGCTGATGAGGCGGCGCTTAGAGACACTGCGAGCTTTGGTGGAGGAGTACGCAATGACTATGACTGTGACGTTTGTAAAATCTTATCAGAACCGCGCTGACAGCCTCACCAGAGTGCCGCAACGCTGGTTGGAGATGCACAAGAAAGGAGGAGAACTGGTGCAAGTGAGTTGTGCCACTGCAACGAGCCAGTTAAACAAACGTCAGGTGACCCACATCCACCAGCAGAGTGGGCACCCAGGTGTTAAAAGAACAATGTACTTTGCTAGGACCGTAGATCCAACGGTATCTAAGGAACTGATAAAATCTGTTGTTAGAACCTGTGAAGCCTGCCAATTGATCGATCCAGCACCAGTGCATTGGAAAAAAGGAAATTTGAGTGTGAGAAGAAACTGGAGTAGGTTAGCAATGGACGTGACCCATTACAATGGTAGCCATTTTCTTACGCTCATTGACTGTGGTCCCTCCCGTTTTGCAGTATGGTGGCCACTGAGATGGCAAGACTCTGCTGGTGTCATTCGTCAGCTGGAGACAGTTTTCACGAACAAGGCCGCCGACTGAAATACTGACTGACAATGACACCACGTTCACTTGCAGACAATTTAAGGAATTTGTAAGCAGCTGGGGCGTGCATTTGAGGTTCCGGTGCGTTTATGTGCCGTCTGGAAATGGCATTGTGGAACGCAACCACAGAAGCGTCAAAACCATAGCGGCCAGGAAAAATTGTTCAGTCTTGGAAGCGGTTTACTGGCATAACGACAAGGACAAACTTTCACCTTCCACGGTACCAGCTGATGTACTGTACACATACCACATCCAGGTGAGAGGCATCGACGCGACGCCCCCGCCTGAATCACAAATAACCGAAGGGGAATACAAGAAAGGGGACATTGTCTGGGTTAAGACTCCACGTGGTAAATGCACGACCAAATTTGGAATCGGACGTGTGACCGAGGTGTTTGTCAGCAGTCAGTGCGGGTCGATGGAACGCCTCGTCATATTAGAGAACTGCACCCTTTTTTGGGCTCAAATCCCACAACTGACGAAGAAGACACAGAGGATAGTGAACAGCCAATATACATAGAGTTGGATTCAAAAACCAATCACTCCGATAGCGGTAGTTTGCCAATAGATTGAGACGTGTCTAATGAGAGCTCCTCTGATGAAGAAGTTCAACCAATCCCCCTTCGGAGGAGCACCCGGAACAAAAGACTGTATCCACACTGTCATCTGTGTGATCAGGGGGGAATGTGGCGGACATGAGACAGAACCTGGGACGAGCACAACTGGTCACGACTTGCCTTGTCCCCGCCAAAAAAGAGCCCGTATTTGCTTAGCATGTAAAGCTACTGCAGTTGAAATGAGGGAGAAAAAAAGCACTTACTTCTCTGCCGTAATCCGTCCTTGGCCAGA